GGCTTCGTCAGCTTGTTGGGACCTTTCCGTGGGTGTCCCCTCCCTTCCTGGAGCCTTGTTTTCAGTAAATGCCTTCAGTGTGGTTTGCACTTCTCTTTTCAGTACCACTGGTTCTTGATCAAGAAGATAAGAAAGGGTAGGGCATTCATCATTTCTCTTTATGTCTGAGTCATAGTCCATCAAGGGGCCTGGGAGTGCACTGTTTAAATCTCAGTTGCTAATCTGAGGAATATGATTGGAACCCTCTTGGCTTCTCTGCGTGAGAAAGGCCGAGTGGAAAACAGTTCTTCCACCGCGCATAATGCATGTATAGAGATTACCCATTCATCTGTTGATGGACATTTCCTCTGGGTCTGCCTTTGGCCCTGTGATGAGAGGGCTGAAAGGAGCGTTGATGTAGGGTTGCTGTTGCCATTCCTGCTCCTGCAGGCTTCTTGGACACCACTCTCACCGGCTTCCCTTATACTTCTCTGCCCACATCTGCTCAGTCTCCTTACTGCCCCCTCATCCCCACCAAACTCCCTCTGAGCCAGAAACTAGTCTAAGGCATTCTTACTGCACTCTAGTGGTCAAAGCTGCCCCAGAGCCTGGCCCAGTTCAAGGGAAGTGGGACCATCCCCACCTCTCTTCGGGAGGAAAAGCAAATAATGTGTGAACCCACCGAGCTTAGAGACCCAGAAGCCTTCCTGGGTGTCGCCCATCCTTCACGCATCCCATGCAATCCTCCAGAAGTGCTATCAACTCCACCTCCAATAACATCCGGCAGGCAAACTGCTCTGGCTCTCTGGTGTCTCAAGTCTCAGCTCTCTAGCTTGGATTGCACAACCTCTCTACCCAATCCTCTTCTCCATCTCTGCTCCCTCCCGCAGTGTGAACCACCACTCTGCACTCTCTTCTCTTGCAGGACTTGAGCTGCTCTCGGGCTTTGTTGGAGCAGTTCAGCTCCCAGGAGCGCCCTTTTGCAAGTTCTTGGTGGGACCACCTAGTTCTCTTCCTTCAGGCCCCAGATCAAATGGCATCTCTTCTGTGAGTCCAGATTCCTGGGCTGTGCACTTGTCTTCATCGGAATGGCTTGTTGCTAAGCGCGCTGGCTTGTGTCTGTCTCTTTTCCCATTAGGCTGCAAACTTCACAACACCAAGCCAGGGCCTGTTTGCACAACCCTGGCATCTGCCACAGAGCCTGGCGCATAGTAAATGCTCAATAAGTATGGGTTGAATGAATGAGGAAATCTAACAGCACAGTATGCCGTGTCAGGGTACAACACACTACCAAGTGGCCCTGGGCTCCAGCCTGCCCTGGTCATGCAGCATTCATTCATATGGCCTGCCCACAGAGCTTTTCTGCAGTACACACTGACAGCCCAATGTAGCAGGGCACAACTCAGCATTCTGTAGTATTGGACCTGGCCTGGATTCCAGGCTCAGTCCTGGGTGTCCTAACTCCAAGTTCCGGATGTGTCCAGCTGACCACAGGAACCCTCAGCTTTCACTGGAATGCTTCTGGGGCTCCAAGCAGTAGGTCCTGGACCCGGGGCCTGGGCTGAGCGGTGTCTGCGAGCCCAGGTCTCAGCCTTGGTGAGGCACAGTGTACCTTTGCTTTCCCAGAAGGCCCTGTTTAGCCTCCAGAGAAGAATAGTCCATTCTAAGGACTTTGAGCAGCTGTGAGGGCTGTGGGGAGACTCCTGGGAGGGGAGGCCTGGCTTCCTGCTTTGCTGTGTGACATTATGCCTGTTACTGTCCCTCTCTGATGTATCTGTCCTGCAGAAAGAAGAGAACACATCCTCTAGAGAGCATCTGGTGCAACAGGGCTTCTCTGGGCAACCAGGAAGGGAGTCCCTGCAGAGAGAGGCCACCTGACAGAAGGGTTTAGAAGCTAAGGCCTGCTGGGTGTCTCCTCACCTGCTCACCCGTGGGCAAGGCCCAACTCTGCACAAGAATATGACAGAGAATGAATCACCAGGAAGGAGGGGTCATGGAAAAGGAAAGTGAGGTGTCCAGCCCCCTTCCCCCGCCCTGCCCTCTTCCTCTTCTCCTTGGCCAAGGACCCCAGTGAGTCACGAGATTCCACTGGGGCAGGCTCAAGGCCAAGCTCAGTGACAATGGAAGGAACCGTGAGCCATAGCCTCAGCTCCACTCTCTTTTCCTACTCTGTATTTCTGCCTTCTCTGCACTGACTGACAGATGGTCAGTCAAAATGCCCGGAGGACACATATACATACAAAGACCCCTAGCAAGACAGACAGGCAGACACAGATGAGCACACAGGGAGGACAGTGGCACAGATATATGCATGAACAAGCCAGCAGGCAGCAGGCAGATCCCAAGACAAGCACCTAGACAGATAGACAGACACCCAAATCCAGATGGACACAGCAGAGAGAAAGATAAACAGATGGACAAGTAGTTACGGACAGTCACACACGCACGCACGCACACACACATGCATACGCACAAGCAGAAGCAATCCAGGGACACAGGTATTCAAACATCCACACATATACAAAGAAATGCAACAGACAATGTTGGCTCGCACTGGTCTACCACAGGGGATGATTTGGGGTAGAGGACAGGCCAGATGTGGCTGAGCCAGCCCCCCCACCCCCGACCCAGCCTGGCCTAGAACTACACTGAGACTGGTCCACACAGATGGGCACCCTGTAGGTGGGTCCTCCATCTCCCACACTGAGGATGTGCTATTTACCGACACCATCCTGCAGCAAGGTGAATGAATGAACGGTGGTTATAGATACCCAAAGGGACTTCCCCACCAGGAGAGCGCCAAGGCCTGCAGTGGGGGACTGAGGGGGGACTAGGGACAGGAAGGAGGGGGAGAGGAAGCCTGTGCTTGGGCTGCACTCCTCTTCTGAGCTTCAGTTCCCAGTTTAAGATTTGTCGGCCTAGGTCCCTGCAGAGGGTTTGCCCCCCTGGATGCTGGGGCCCCAGGGCATGAACTCCCACCAAACACTGCCAGGTCAGGACCCCCTCTGGTGACTCACACCCAGTATCCCATAGCAGGGGGTAAGTCAGCCACAGATGCTTGCTGTTCATGCCTCTCCCCACCCCTGCTTACCAGCTGAGGGTGCTCCCTAGGCTGGGAGAGGGTGCAGGGGATCAGGGAGAGCCCAAAGTGCAAAGAGCCTTTCTCAGGGGGAGGCAGGCGAGACTCAGGCTTGGGGACAGGGGGTGTATCCCTCCAGGTGTAGTCTCTCTCTCTCTCTCTCTCTCTCACACACACACACCCCTCCTCTCCTCCACCACCCCCCCACCCCCCCTTGTAGCTACAGTCCTCTGGCCCCAGCCCAACTACTTGGGGAAGAGAGGCTAAAAGGGGAGGTAAAAGGTGGTGGCAGCCAGGCTCAGGACAGAAGCCCCATTGTTTGGGTATGGGCTGGCAGGGCAGAGGAAGGGTTTATATCCTGCCTGGGGCTGGTGACGGGTGGGGGTGGGTGGAGATACTCTGAGAGGGTGTCCCCTGGCAGGACTCTTGCTGTTGGGCCGGCCCTTCCAAGAGGGTAGGTGCCAAGCATGATGCCCCCCGGGGTTGATAGGGGGGCGGTGCTCGGCGGGGTGCCCATATGGACTGGCGGAGCCAGGTCCTGAGAGGAGTCACAGGGCGCAGAGACTCAGGACCAGACCAGGAAACACTCCCACCCCACACCTACCCCTTCACCTCCCCCTGGAATGAGCTGTCAAGGTGCCTGCAGGGTCTGGCACCACCCTCTTCCTCATTCCAAACATTCCTGAGAGCTGAGGTAGCTGGGGCGTCCCCAAACGTGGGGGGCTAAAGATTTTTGTGATCTGCACCTTCCCCATCATTTTCCACCCAGGACTTTACAAACTTCCGCTCCGACCACCATCCCCTAACCCCCACTTCTCTGTGCAAGACCCTTAGATCCACAGAGAAAGCCATTGGGAAGTCCTTCCTGCTGTCTGACCACAAGCAGACCACCTGCTTCACTGGAGTTCTGCCCGAAGGGAAGGGCTCCTGCAGCCGCAGATCCAGAACAGAGAATCACACGCTCATCACCAATGCCCAGCCTCTGAGTTACGAGCTACTTCAAGCCAGTGGTTCCAAGCTGCTCCTCACAGATCTACAGCCTGGGAAACCGTGCGCAGA